GATGGCACAAAGATGTTTCAAGTTTAAACATGGGTTACGCGCTGCAAAAAGAAACCATCAGGAGGTGAAAGGCAATGGTGCAATTCCGTACATTGGTTGAGAAGGTGTAGTGGTGAAATTGGAAGCTGTGCCACCCTTCTACTTTCACTCTGGTGTATTCTCCCCGCTCTTCGGTGCCTAAATTGCGGGCCGCCCATTTCTCGTGATCCCTACGCACTTGCCAACATTGTTAACCCAGCTGAACTCGAAGCTGCAGCAGCCTTTTTGGGAGGGGGCTTGAACAAGTTTGTTCGTTTATGCTCCTCTTTGTGCTCAAAGGTGGATTCGTCACGAAACATCCAAACAGATCAGCATTTAATGGCGTACCAACAGCACATTAAGTACCAAGTTCTGCCTTAGTTTGCCACAATAATCCTTTCTTGCCACAATAACCCCGTCTAGGTCGTTGTCCTGGATGCATATTGGCTGCCCAAGGTCTACTGTAAACATACAGCGTGTCCCCGTCGTCCTCCCTCCAGAATCTGAGAAACACACTTTCAAGAGTTGTTAATTATACCCATTTACAATACCTTCATAGCTTGAAACAACATGTAACCATGGTATGTTAAACCTGTTCGCACACCTAACTACGTGGATAACACCGAGCCGCCTGAGAAAATCGTGGGCTCTGGCACCTCGGCGCTCCGCCCGCTCCGGTGCTCGATCGACAGGCTTTCGCAGCAAATCTGATCAATGACCTCGTCAATGACAAGCATTCGTTTCGGTTGGAACAACCCCCAGATAAATTAGAACAACAGGAAGTTGACACCAGAACAGCAAAAGTAATCATATCCTCAAAAAGTGTCCTTCAGAACAAGGCACTTGCCAATCCCCAGAAACATTGGCACACACACAAGATCAAACCTGCATGCATGTTTCAATAATACTTCACACCCTCCGCCCGGCTGCGGACACCGGGAACCCCGAGCCGTCTGGACCTCGTCGGTCTCCGAAACCGGACTGGTGGGAAGCTCGGTGGGCACCTGGCCGGCGGTGTCAGTGCTGGGGCCCGAAACGGACGACCGTGAGAACGAGGGACAGGACACCACCGAGGTCAGGAAGCTCGGAGTGGATCTGCCAGCAGTGCTGACTCGTGAGTGTTCATCCATAGTGCCATTAGTCAATACATGTCAATAGGTCTTTTTTCTACTTATTGAGGGCTCTTGCTCCTCGGTGTTGTGAGTATCGGTGGGTAGTCTTGAGCATAGAATCTATGCCACCAAAACCACTGTCGCAATGGGCGCAGAACACAACAGGCTCGTAAATCTGGACATTACGTACGTTAATCGATCTACACCTTAATGTATAGGGAGCTCGGGCTGCACTGCTTTGCCGTGCACGATTGCAAGCGATCAATGTGATAGTGAATGTTCATGCATGCATGTTCTATTGAATATATTGGATGATGCAGGGAAAAAGAGTTGCAACATGTTATTCGAAAAACATCAAGTGTTTCAATTGTCAAAGGGAGCAAAAGAAATTGTGCCCACAAATCCGGAAGTTGCTGGTCCACCTGGCAGAAAAAAACATCGCATCGGTTTGCACGAGCAAGAAACTATAGTGTCTGGATGCTTCCGTCCGATGCTGCTGCTACACACTAAAAACTGCATCCTTAGTTCCACCCATCACAGGGATCTACATACGTCACATATACCTTCTGAGCAGGTTTCGATCTTTGGGGTGAACGTGGCATTCTCGGGCCAATCTCAAAAATGCAAATTTCCATTTCTTCACCAGTATCAATCTCGTATCCCACCCTCGGGGGTCTCCGTGTAGACTCTGTAGCTATACCTCCAAAGGTTTAACTCCAAATGGAGAAGTCCTGCCGCAGCGCACCGAAGAAGCACAGAAGCCGAGCCACGGGCATCTCGGAGGGTGATCCAATCGAGGACGAGACCAAGGCTGAAGAGTGAAGGCCTTGGGTGGAAGAATAAAGCAAACGGAGCAAATGGAGTGGATAGCACAATGAGCTTAGACGAAAAATACACTTGATAATAGCACAGCAAGCATGTCTTTGAGTGTTTGACCATGATCCTGGAAAAGAAAGTGAAACCGCGTCAACACATGTGTCAACACCCGTTTTCCGTGTGGGCTGGTCGGTGGCTGCATTGGAATAGGGAGACCTGCCAGTTAGACCCCCTGGAAGAAGGAACAAATCTTCATAACATCTGCAAGCAACTTCCTTGTAATCGCATACGTAGTACGTATGACCAATCTCTAACCCCGAGTGGTGATGATCTGTAACTCTACTGGCAAAAAGACTTCAATCAATCCTGCAGCCGACACCGTTCTACGCCGCACAGCTCGTGCGCCACGTGGCACGCCTGCGGACATCAACGGCATTGGCACCTCGGCCTGCATGGCGGAGGATGGTGACCCATGTACCAGTAGGTCTCCTGCAAACCGCTGTCGGATCCATCTGGGTATAGCTTCAAGTCAACCAGTTCCAACGATTACAGTACATTCGGGAATGTGCGGGGGATTGTAGTCTCACCATTTAGACTTCAAGAAAAAGACAAAACTGAACAACGGAAAGTCTTTATCCTTTGATCCACATGTTCAAACCATTCCTTATGTTCAAACCATCCCTTCATCCGTGCCCATTGACTGCACGCTTCAGCAAGGATGAGCACTCCACGGATGGGACAGTTGGGTTGGTGGGGCTTGTGCCAAAAGTGACGAAGACTTGACCACCACATGGCACATCAGAACCTTGGACTGAATGAGTCTCTGCCCCATTGGTGGATCAAAACAAGAGCTGGCTCGTGACTGTTCCTCGCCTCGCCGGACCCACGAACAACAGTCCCACGAACGATGGCCGTCAACTGCCTCTTGCACCGTTGCCTCTTCTTCGCCTGATTGTTTCCAAGGCCGTGCGAAAGACATCTCTGTCATTATCATGTCTCTCCCATGTGTAATGTCGACATATGTCAACATATTATGGACGTTCCTCTCAGACTCTTGTTCATTCATCATATAGCGGCCATTTGTATACCCTCACTCACTCACCATCGCTCACCAAACGATCCAAGCATGTGGCCACCCCACAAATTGCTTAGCTGCCAAACCGATCCCCGATCCCCAGTTGCAGCTCTCAGCTCGGACAACCAAAATTGCAAGCTCGCCCGCCTTCAGACAAGGGCGCAATGGGCACAGGTAGTGGTGCCTCATGATCGGCGCTGAGAAAGACAATCCGGCAAGACTATGGAAGTCTTCTGTACGAAGGGACCGCAAACCAATGGATACTGCTGTTCATCAAACTGAGTCTTCAAGTACTTCAGAGGGTGCATAAAGTGTGTATATTTGTTTGTGGAGTTCATCATCTTTCTAGAAATTGCCCTGCGTTCTCTATCACGAAACAAATCGTTGAAGAGACTTTGGGAGGTGCTGCACAACCCAATCCTAACCGGAGATTTGCGGAAGCACCTCACTCCCAATCCTGCGCTCCCCGCCTCTCCAATGTCCATCGCAGGGCTGGTGGGCATCTCTGTGGGCACCTTGATTGCAGCGCGGAGAACGATGAGTATGTCGACTTGGGTGTTGCTGTGCAAACATCGAAAAAACATGTTTCTGCCAAAACCCTTCATGTGAACATCACGTGCATCCACCTGGCTGCTTCTGTGGCTTCGCTGGGGTTCCGCGCTGGCATCTCGGAGGGCGACTCTGGCGCCGAAGAGCCGGGGCCCATTGCCGAAGAGTGGAGCCCTGGCACCGACGCCGTAACTGGTCCTCGGGCACCCTGCACCTAATATGGCCAGTGTAGCGGCCGTCCAAGCAAAATTCAACAAACACTGCAAATATTGGGGGTTGTGAACTCATTGCTAGCTGCTAGTTGTGGTAGAGCCTCCTACATTTTAACCTATGAAACTATGATTGTTTGCCTCCTCCGACCGTGCTGACTCGTTAGTCCGTTGCAAAATAGCGACGCAGGATCATAAATCATAAATATATTCCTGACAACAACTAACACATGAGGTCTTGCTCGTCTGCATGAAGTTCGACGCGCTCCGAAACCTGGCCAATCCGCCAATCCGCCTGAAGCCTGCCAGGGCGGGATCATCTCTTCTGCCTGAGAGGGATCGGCCGCGTGTGGAGCGAAACAGGGGTGTCAGTCCTTCAAAATACTTCAGGCTTGTTCTGGGCTTCAGTTCTGGACGCGCCACCTTCCCACACCAAAAGATGTAGAGAAAACAAAGTTAGTAGAGAAAATTGCAGTTTGCAGGCCAGTGGAAAGCACTCTTAAACACATCATAAATATAGAGGCATTTGTGTTCAAAACTGTTGTCAAACAACGTCAAAAACCACAAAACCTGTTCTTCACACACCTGGTCACTTGTCACATCTCGGACCTGAGAGACTCCCCCGCCCGTCCCTGCTCATCCCCCGTCTGTGCCCAGCCCATCTGGGCCCGTCCACCTGTGCTGCACGCTCACCTGTGGAGGTGAAAACGAACAAAACTGACATGGGTTCGGGATGATTTCATACCCAAAGAGAGTGGACCTGAAGTGGCTTTGAAGTTGCTAGTCCACTCATGCATGAACAGTGAACTAGTCTAACTAGTCTCTCCAACACAGCATTTGGGGGAGCTCGGAAGATGATAAAGTCCACCCAATTTGACCGATGACGCAAAGCAGTCGATTGAGTCTGAACATTCTCAGAGAATTCATTGATATATCTGTGGATCCACAAAACTCACATAACCAGGTTAAACCAGTCCGACCATTGGAAAGTTGGGTCTGTATGTTTATGAAATGTAGGGGCTTGTGCCTCACAGTCTGCAGATATACGATCCACTGCGATTAAATCGGTTTCAACACTGAAGCAAATGTGTGATCCTTGATGGTCCTTTCTCTTGTTTAATTGTTCGTTTTACCCAAGACGAGGATCCCGGGAAAGGACTCCGACTTTCGATGCTGCTTCTTCCCATTCCTGATCTGCAACTCTGCACTCCAAACCAACGCCTGAGAAGAGGGTTGGCTCTCCAGCGGCTGCCTCACTTTCGAAGGAAGAAGGCGATTTTGGCATGGAAATTGCTTGCAACAGGAATACCTCGCAGCCTTTGCACTTAACTTTGGCTCAAACTTGAGCACTGGCAAGGTGCGCGTAAAAGTGGTGCGAGTGCCTTTCGCTTTGCTTGTAATTAGAACTTACTTGAGCCAGTAGGTTTTTCAGGTGGTGGCGGAGCTCGGAGAACGAGCTGAGAAGGTCCAGGTTTGCGTTTGGTCGCTTTGAGATATGGCTGATGCGACAGGTTCCGAGAGGCACGCGAGAGGGAAAGGTCACCTTCGAGTGGGCAAAGCAGAGCATTTCACCATTAGGTCCCCACAATCGTCCAATAGTCCGACAGGAATGGAGGAAGGTTGAGCTGGAAAAGGCGCAAAAGGAAAACGAGAGAAGGGAGTGATCAGGGAGGAGCGACGGCTCCGTATGTGTCTCCTACACAGGCACCGCCGGTCCCGCCAGCACCAGTACCTCAACAGGTTGTCTAGCCAGGTCTTTCAGAATCTCAGTGGAATCAAATTCTTCAGATGATACAACAGCTCGAACCCATTGGTCGTGAGTGTGGGAATCTAAGTCAGAGGTTGACAGGTCTGGAGGCGAGGGCGAGGTTGCTGAGTCAAGACTTGAGTGGTGGAGAAGGTGGAGTAGGTGGAAGTGCACCGATTCAGGCTAAGTCGCCAAGTATCTCGTCAGGTTCCTTTGGAGAGAGAAGCGTCATGAGTCCACAACCTGTGTTTCCAAAAAAAATACCAATCCAAGGCGAAAAAAAACACATGTTTCAAAGGTGGGAATTTGTGAGAATCAATCGAACATGGGAGCATTGGTGATCACCAAGGGGCCTCCCAACGCGTTGAAATGTCTACCAAGTTATCTTCATCAGTGTGAAAAGTTTACTATATGGTCAGTGCCTTGGTAGAAACACCTGGTGACCACATGACAGGAACATATACAAAGTATAGTAAAGTACTTAAAGGATCTCAAAGGGCTTGTTGTCTGAGATGACATGGTGACATGGCCCAACTTTGTTCTGTACATCGTATACCGCTCAATCAGTTGACAGCTGCATCCAGCTGCCCTGCACTCCATATTCAAACCCGACTCCGATGTCGATCCTTTGGCGGGATTGTGCAGCGGAATTCACCGAACGAAAAGGCTCGATCTTGAGACTGCCCTGTGGTCCTTGTGGATGCCATTCCACTCCGCCCTGCTCAGCACCCAACTGGTGTGAAGTGAAGTTGAACCCCTAAACAAATCTAAGCAACCCCATCCAACTTGTTGTCCCAGAAGGCTTTCACCCATGATCTTTCGTCCACGTCCTGCATGTCTGCTGAGCGCCGTGCCGCGCATGCAATCGAGGTGGGGCTTGGCAGATCTGTCGGCACCTGGAGTTGGAATCCAAGCTGAAGAAATTCATCCATCGCAAAGGGACTGCAGTGCTATTGCTTCAATACACTATACACAGGATTTCTCAGGATTAGTGCAGATGAGTGCAAAGATTGCACAGGTGCACCATGGTGAACCAACGGTGAGTGAGTTGTTCAAACTCGAGTTTCTCTCTTTTGAGTCTTAAGGTCAAAGAGTATCTGTAGCCGTGAAGCTGATCTTGGCATCGTCATGTTTTGAATGACAACCATGGAATTCACTTCTTCAGCCGGACCCGTGTTCCACTTCGTCTGCATCACCGCCCGTTGCGTGGAGATTGTCCACCGCCCCTGCGTCACCAAGGCCCCTCGCTGGCAGGTCTGATGGTGACAGCGCCAATGCGGAGGAGACCATGGCCGAGGAGTGCATGGCAATGCCTCCAAACAGATGGGTGCAATGCATGTGGTTCACCTCTGGTTCTTTGGATGACAATGTATCGGGATCCGGATCCTTTGAACATAATATGCAAAGGGTAAGCTGATACTGAAAGCAAACTTTTGTATGTCAACAACCTGGGGACCCAGGTATGTTTCCCCAAAACGCAGAGTTTTGATGAGCTGTTGCCACGTTTGGATGTCCAACAGGGAGGTTTCAAAATCAGCTTCACTGGCCAACCACTCCATCGTGTTTCACAACTGTAACGACGCAGCCTTAATGTGCCTGACACTGGTTTCAGGATCAGTCGAAATCAAACATTCAAATGGGGAACGCTGAGAAACGTTTCACAACTTCCCTCCTGGAATGTGTATTCAAACCTCTATATTATAGTCAATCTTATACGGTAGAAAGGGTGATCTCGATTGTTGCACACAAGGAACCCAAACAACATGTACTAATGCAGCAAATAAAAGCATCTGCAAGTATACATGCCCCAAGCAAAAATCGTAGAAATCATTTTGAGACACGTCCCAGGTTAGTCGCTATTGACTGGACGCACATATGGATTCCACGAGCGCCCCAAATTTGTCCCTCTGGTCCATGTCCTTCCTCAAAAATGCTAAACAACTGTAATTCTGACTGTTGACTGTTGTCACTGTTCATATAGTATAGATTTATAGGTGTGTATCGAGAAAAGGGAGACCCTGAAGTTCGACCGGAAGAGTACAAGTATAGACAAGAAAAATCATTGGTTAGGAGACACCCCTATTCCAATACACACGACCTATCCGCAAGCCTTCCAACTTCCCGGGTTAGACCAGGGTGTCTCTTGCCAACTTCCGTTTGCAGCGCCTGAGAACTGCGTTGGTTCCCCAGTCGAGACCTTGCCGACTCGCAGAGAGAGCGTGAGAGAGCTGACCTAACCCGGAAGAAACACTGTTGGGGTCCGGTATCCCCTGTAAGCCCCAACTATTCCGAGTACCTATTTTTAAGAACACCACAAAACTATCTGTTGATTGTAACCCCAAAGCGCAGTTTGCCTTTGATTTGTAACTAGCACCGTTGTTGCGTTGATGACGTTTTCCTAGGTTACTTTTGGCTCTGAAGGTCTTGAGTTTCTGTAATACAAGGGGGCATGTGTCTTTGGAAAGGTGGAAGGGATTCTGTAGCTGTATACGTTGGCACTACAGGGAAACGATAATGTCATGTGTTAATCGCACCAGACCTAATCTTGAATGCCTTCCCCCCAATGGAAACGCTACTTCAGAGAATCACGCCTAAGTCACGCCCGATGTGCAAGCACCATGAAACGCTGAAGCCTACACTTCATGTTATTTTTGCACAATTTATATAGATCCAAATCCCGAAATCCCAATGGAATGCTTAATTTGTCCACCACTGGAACGTTGCTTTGAACACACTTACTCTTCCTCATACTTGTTCAACTCCTGTGCTCTAGCTGCTTCGGAGTACTGACATTGGTGATGTGTTCAGCTTTCCGTGTTTTGGGCAAGCCTGGACCTGTCCAAACATGATCTATAAGCTGACGAGCACCGTTTCATATGGATATGCAGCGGTTTCAGCGGAACCGCTGGGCACATGTACTTCGCTCTTCTGGCCCCCGTAAATGGAAAAGAAGCTGCAGTTTCCAGTTCATCCTTCCATGCCCCAAAATAGATCAGTCGTTGACAGTCGTTGCAACAAAAGCTCAACTTGTCACCCCGTTCTCCAGTGAGTTCCGAACATGTGGGCACATCACCCCCCTCACTACGCTCGCTGTGCATTGTATTCCGATTTTTTTGGAAAGCCGATGAACTCCTAAAGTACTGTGGCATGGCAAAGAGTCCAGATTGGTCCATTGCTTCTTCTGCTGGTAAGTCAGTCTTGTACTGTGATCACTAAAGAGCACTGACGTCAAACCAGATTGAAAGCATATGCATATGCACATACAATCAATAACTCCATTGAGAAAGGCACCTAGGTACTCAAGAGGGAAGCTGGTGTCAGCCCCGAACCCTTTGAACTCAACACATCAAGCTGTAGAGCTTCCCAGCTTCAGGAAAATATGGAAGACTCTGACATGACCCTTTTCTGGAGGGTTGAGTCCAGGATGATCTTGCCAACCATCATGTGAATGTACCCGGTAAACCCTAGCGTTTTAAAGCGGATTGCATTACCGCACCACAAGCTCAGGGTATCCATCGTGGCATGGCAGGAAGTCGATCACCAAGGAGAATGTCGCACTGCTCGAATCTCCAGATCTTGCACCTCACTATATACGACAAAGAACACCCCCAGCGGCAGCTTCTGAGCATCAATATCACATGTCTTGCTCGGGCAGGACTTGAAACACGCTCTGAACCGCACACAAGCCGGCGGACGTTCCACCGCGGCTTCCTCGCTCCACCGACACTGGCCCAGTAACTCAGTAGCTTGGTCGTACTTGCTCCCTGCCAGTCCAACTGATCACTCCCAGCGGCTAAGGCACCGTGGAAGCTCTATGTCTTCGCAGACGTATTGGTAATGCAAATAGGTGTCAAACGGTGACCTCTTGAGGGGTTCTGCTGTGTGTCAATCGATGTAAAATCATCCAAGACCCCGTCGTTGTGGAACCATTTCTATTGGGAAAAGACCATCTTTGGTTGGTTGGTAGTCCAAAAAGAGGGATAAATCTGTGAAGTCCTCTCGTGTTCCTTGCTTTCACCTTTTGCCGTTCGGCCGGGCCCCGAGCATCAACCTTCGAAGCCGCAGTTCTCACAGCGATCGTGGGGCTTGAAGGCATCTCGGTAGGCACCTCATCGTGAAAACCCAACGACTTGAAACCTCCATCCAAGTTCTTTGTTCCCACAATTGGCGAACATAGTCCTGTGAGTGGATTCTGTTCTTAAGTTCTTGACTAGAACTTAGGATCAACAAGGAGTCAGAGAGGGTCACGGTAGGTGAAGGTGTCATTCATGGACCAGATTTTGTGTTCGGGGGGGTCTTAGTGGTGTTTCCAAAGATGAGTCCGCGGAAACACCTTCTTTCAGGGTATCCATAAGACTTGATCAAGCCCCTATAGGGGTCTGGGCTCGGCCAGCCTATCGTTGCTTCTGGATTAATACATCTTCAGTTACATCTTCATGTCAAGCAATTAGAACCATAGTGGTCACTTCCGGAAATCTTTTGGTGAAGAATGCCACTTCTCAGTTCACAAGACAAATCTGATAAACATCCACTCAAAACTTCAGTTATGCGGCCCGGGCACGGGCATCTCTGAGGGTGATGGATGCCCCGGCACTGAAGAGGACACCATGGCCGAAGAGCCTAAAAGGCCTGAATTTCGATGGTGCCGGAAATTGGGAGGTTTTCTAGACAAAGCGCTGTGTTTTGACAGGGCACTGGTTGGCGTTTCATTGGTGGTGTTTCAAAAACAGTAGCTACTGGCTTGGGTGTCTGAGCAAATTCATCTGTACACTGTAAACTGTATAGATCTGTATATGTATATATATATATAGTATTTTGGAATTCTGTATAGTATAGCTGCAAGGCCTTGGCTTCGCAAATGGGACGGGTCCGGTTTCCCGACGACCTGTCTAGACTCCCCTGTAAAACACATGCTGTAACATGATCATAAGCGTATGGGATCCAGCAAAACTGCACCCCAAAGACCTTGGTCTGTCGAATCCCCTGTGAACATAAGGAATAGATTATGATCACACTTCTGCCAAACTCCGGGGAACGTAGACGGCATTAGCTTGTTGATCTCTTGCATAGCGGCCATGTAGAGGGGGTTCATGCATCATATCCTTACAAGTTGAACAAAGGGAACCATGAATCCATATGCCGATCTCTATTCTCTTCAAATCAAACCGAGGCTACATTTCACTCATCACCTGCCATCCAACCCGTTGTGTTTGTCAAAACAACATTGGAACCCGCAAACACCCTGGTTAGGAAAACGATCAACTGCACTGGCACTCAAAAACCAAACATTAGACTGGACCAACGAAGTGAAGGCAATGTGGGGCCGCAGGTTGCCTAAACTACTCTAAGAGTGTTTTGAACAAACTTTGAACGCCTCTCAAAGTGGCAAATCTAACTTCTACCCAAGTCAGCTAAATCTCAACTCCAGCCTGAAGACCTCAGCTGTGGGATGTCTTCTGCCGCCTACCGGTCCACGGCAGTGAGAAAGCGGAGCTGTTTTTGATTGACGAGTTCCCACAACAGGTGGATGTATATGCTCCCTGCCAGATTTACTGGAGAAAGTAGAGATAGGCCTCCAGCCACGTCCACGTCCGGTTTGTATCTGCCGAACATGTTTTAATGTCGACCTACCCAAAGAGACTTTTGGGTTTCCTGATCAACACTCCCAAAGGTCAGCAGCCATGTGCGAAGGATTGAAAACCCTCAGGCTGGCCAGGAGCCATGAAACTCCAAAGGTTCCCGATCTGATCTTTGAAACATACTGAAGTGACACATTGAGTTTTGATTATACTAAGTGTTGGAGACGGCCATCGCTCTTAGGTTGGAAGCCATCGCTAATTATTAGCTTGGAGGCCATCGCTATTAGGTTCCATAGGATCTGCGGAAATGCATTACTTTTCCAAGATTCCTCATAGGGTTCAACATGTGTGGCCGAATGCGCCATTTGCAGGACACACACACCAAAAAAAACACATCCTGGTCCTAGCAAGTGCCCTCGAAAACACCAGCTGGTAACTAGTATCACAAATAGTCATTGCCCAGGCGGCCATGTTCCCAAGTTCCAGCATCCCACCTTCACTGTTGGAGCGACTCCTGCGGCGAAGTCATAAGGGGACGTGGCTGGGGCAACAGGCTTCAAAACGATCTAATTGTTTTTCACCTAGAACGCATTTGACCTTCTTTTCGATAGGAAAACCATATGAGCTGTGCTCAAAACGTGTGGCATCTGCCTATGTCGTAAGACTTTCCTTACGCAGCAGCTTACGCCTGGCTTACGCCACCACAATGGCAGCTTACGCGCACACTTTGCACACAAAGGGGCTTACGCAACACTTACGCGAACACAATCTTGCACCCGGCCACAGCGCCAGCTTACGCGCCATCTGTTTTCCAAGCAAAGCACAGCACACAGCAGGTTTGTTACGTCCGCGGCTGTAGGGCAGTGAGCAGCCAGGATTTCGTAGATGGTCTGGACAATGCTTTGCCTTTGGCGCCATTGCAAGTCAGAAAAAGCCTGCTTTTTAGGAGGCATCGTGGGCCACCGTCTACAAAAGAGAGGGGGGCTTACGCGCAGCTTACGCGAAGCTTACGCGCGCCTTACGCGTACCGTATTACCGACACCAAAACCGATAACTGCATGGTGACATAGTGTGTCTGACAACTGCTGGTAGACTTTATGGCTATGGGAGTTGTTTGTATGGCTATAGGAGTAATGTTTGCATGTGTTGACCCATAAAATCTCTGTCCTGATGCCTATGTCCTGTATATAAATGACTACAGGAACCCCAAGAACCCTTCTTTCTGTGGAGCCAATCACCTTCGACCATACCAATTGCCAAGAGAAAGATCCAATGCAAGGCTTCATCAACAAAGGTCTCCATAGAATTTCCATACATTTCAATACATGTGACATGTATGTTAAATTTCGACTTGCTTACGCGGCTTACGCAAGTTTCATCTCACAAAAAACGCTTACGCAACCTTACGCACATCAGAGTTTTGCTTACGCGAAGGATTCATATGACAAGCCCACTACTAAACATGAACAGGGAGGTTCTTAGCGCGGCTCATATTTTGGATGGTTGATCCTCCAAAAATCTCCAAAATAAAGGTCAGTGAGGTTCTAGTCTAGGTAGAATTAGAAAGACTGATTTTCATTGGATCTTGGACTTCACCGACGAATACCTCGTCCGTTTCATGGATCTCCAAAGCACGCGACGCGACTCGTGGAAGCGGAAGCGATTGGTTGGCGCCGGGAAGTCCTTTGCATAGGTTGCCTTGACTCCATAGAGTCTATATACTATAATGTGTATTATCGGCATTATAATAGAGAGACCGGTGACAAAATAATATTGCGTAAACTCCAGGGGCTGCTTCGAGGGGTAAGTCCTTGATCACCTGCCAAAGATTCAATGCGGGCATTGTGGGGAGCTAAATCTGGACTGAGAGGAAGTTTTGTAGAAACAGCTACCTTCGGTGGTGGAAATGTGTTCACAACATACACAGTACGGGCCCTAAGCCAGATGCAAAGGTCTGCTCTGTGACCTTTCATTGATGTGAATTCCTGTAAGCAAAGCAAAGCAAAGGAGAGTTTGTCCAACCTCAAAACATCAAACAAAACCAAAGCCTGCTAAGAACAAATGTCGATTCACCCGATACATTGATCAATGTGAACACTTTCAGAGCTGCTTTTGAGGAGTCGAGGAGGTCAAAAGCATCCATTCTCCACGTTCCTCGTTCGCGCGGTAATGGGCTCGTTCTGAGCCTCCCGCGCGCCTGGGAGTTGCGTTTGCGTTGGCTCTCCAGTGCCCGCCTCGGCTGTTTTCAAAGGAACGAGCCGGAGGGACCACAGTCATGGGGAGATGTGTTGAAATCCCCCTGAAGCCCAAAATGATGGCCCCTCCTAGATCCTCCTAGGCTGGAATTTGACAGTTTCGAGTTTTTTCCCAAGAGACTTGCGATTATTGTTTAATTTTGTTCTTTGCGCGCCACAGGGTCTGTTTAAAGCCAGTGGCGGAGTCCTGGTTCATCTCAAAGCAAGAGCGCATGTCCATATCCTACATAGCTGTTTGAAGGTCTCAGTCGTCATTTCAATGAGTCTCCTGCTGAGTCATGAAAGCATCTGCGTTGGTGGCTGGTGATGGGGTTACAGTTGATTCTTTCGGGCCTGAAGTCGACTTAGCAGGAATCGCAATCGCAACGTGGTCCAGGCACCCAAGTTGTACCGACGACAAGTAGTGATAAAAGGAAGTGCGACATGAAAAGGACCGGATGATTCGAGATATTCTTCCTGTAAGACATCCTTTGACCCGAAGAGGAACAGGTTTTCCTTTTGTATTACCATTCTGCCTGCTACTTACTTGATCGTCTTGAACGCAACAGGAAGTATCCTCCCACTTCCAGCCCCAGCCAAAACAACGCTGCGCCCGTCCCCGAAGGAAAACCCCCGCCGTTTTAACGCCACTTGTGCAGAGACACCTCAAGCACTTCAAGGGAGGTTGGACTGTCCGGCATCTCTGTTGGCACCTTGCATTGGCGAATGCTCCGCCACCGCTGCAACGTGAATGAGGTGACGGCAAATGGAAATGGGAATCTCGCCAAAACTGGATCTATTCCGGAGAGATCCTGCATTGCTTGCCCAAACATAATAAGGTTGCAAACAAACACAAATACATTGTGAAACGGCAGTCCTTTTATTGAATGATATTGAAAGTAAAGACCCTTTTTACATGGTGTGTTAATTTATTCCTTTGTGCACAATGGTGAATTATTGACCCGAACAAAAACAAACCCAAAAACTCTATGTGGGCACCTGCAACGGGTGGGGCAGCCACTTGTGTGTGTGTGAGGCCCTTCTTCCAACCTCCCAAGTTGGAAGAACCCGTCCTCTCAACATCGATCCAACTCCATGCTTCTGGAACGGCACATCTATGATTTTCCTGTCATCTTTATGAACTGGTATCCTTTTCATCCTCTGTCCGAATAGAAATGTGCCTAGATGTGTGCCTTTTGTATTAGCTGTGCTTGTGTGTCCAAACGTAAATCGTCCCGAATCGTCCCGTCGTTCTGGCAACTGCATTCATTGTACCTTTCGTGTGTAGACTGTGCGGTCATCCTTCACTGACGCGTGTGTAAAATCCCTACTCCTAAGTGAGGGGGGACCTGCAATAATGTATAGGCTACATGTTTGGGTACTTTTGAGACCAAAAATGTAAGCTACATTTTTGGTAGCCCGTTCAACAAATGATAGCTACGATTTTCGGTAAAATGTGCAGGTCCCCCACTCCATGCTGAAATGCCAAAACCAAAACCTCATGGCCCCAAAAAGGCGTTTTTTGTGCAACATACCGGTAAGCAATGTATACTCGTTCTATAAATATTTGCTTATATCAAATTAAATCATACTCGCTAGGCAAATTACATTGCTTTGATCAATTTCATGCAGATTTTTCCCGAAAGCATTGCGAAGGGTTCTTCCGGAAAATCCTTTGAACACTCACACTTTGCCACTTACACTTCATGACACTTCGCCACTTACACTTCACCACTTACACTTCGACACTCACACTTACACACACACACTCTGACATTGGTTTTCAGTTAACTCAGTTCCCAGGTCAAAAATGGCGAAGGAACGGCAGGGTGAAAGGTCCGAAAAGTTGAAGGTGTTTGAACAAAGGCTGTTTCTCAAGTCTGCAGAAAGTCGGCGGCGGCGAAAACCAGCGGCGCAGCTGACGGCGGCAAACGAAAAAAGATTAAGGGGTAGGTATCATGAAGGACCATGAATCAAACTGATCAAATA